TGTATGCAGAGGGGTAATGCAAGTGACCTAACACTGACTAGTCCAGTCCAACACCGTATCATTGATTGATCTGCTTCATAACTTGACCCAGGAGGGATTGAGCAGGAAAGTCCTCACTGAGGTCCCTCTCAGTCGGTATGATTCATCACCATGAATTCAATACCCAGCACAGATCCTACACATAGTGTAGGATCTAAATATCTGTTGAGTGAGTAGATATGAAGCCTCTGATTTACACATCCATAAAATGGACCTAAACCACAGTATATATCTCTTAGGTGAAAATGTATGTAGAGCACTTTTCCTGGTGCGTGACACATATTTGATAAACAGAGAAAATGCTTATTGCTATGATTACTAGAATAGCTTTGCAAATTAGAGGTTTAAATTAATTATCCAGATGATCCAAGAAGGAGCTTTTTAGCTTGTCTCATTCTCAGTTTTTCTTGGACTCAGGGAACTCAGCTAATTGAATGGCTGCATATATAATACTCCACAACCACAGTTCCTACTTCTCAATTACTGGGTGATTGACAAATGTATTGGACTAAAGAGTTTTGCGAGTTTCACAGATTTTAATGAAATATCCAAGTCAGCTTGTACTGTTGCCTATAGTACGCTATAGATTTTTGAAGAGGACAAATCCTTGATAAATCACCATGAAGAGGTGGGGGCCCCGGGGTAGGGTGTGGATGTGTGTTTGTGCATGTGTGTATAAATGTGTGTGTGTGTTATCTCTGATGTAATTATGCCTAAGAATTCAGGATCATAGAATTTTGTTTCATCTTAGTGGGGATTTCATAAATGTGTGGACACATTATTTAAAGTTGAAAGATCATCATCAAGGGTCATCCTTTTATTACCTTATTCCTAGGTTATTAGCCTTCTAAGCACATTTATTAATTATTTATGCCAGGTACTAGGTCACAATACAATCTAGAGAGCCTCCAGATAGGGAGCTCTGATTTTCTTATAGAATGAAGAGTTAGAAACGGCATTAAAGACTAGTCCAATTCTTAGTTATTCAAAGGGGAGATTAGTAGTTGGCCTAGGAAATCAAATTTAGAACTAGAAACTCCAGAGTTATTTCCAGTTTTCTTTCCATTCTGCCTCTGTTTTACTTTCTCTTATCAACTGGTAAGTGTATAACACCTCTGAAATTACAACATGATTTGCCCATATAGGTTTTTTAAATTAAAATGTTTATTTTCTTTAGACTCATTAAAAAATAGCTTGGAGTCCATCATTTATCTAAATTCTATCATATGTACCAGTGTCATCTTCTGACAAATTACTTAGAACTATACCTTTGTTATTAGCATCATCTGATTCAAGAAAAATGAAAAAAGATATTCAATCTGTATGCAAAACTATCTTGATAATATTCAAGTACAAATCAGACAAAAATAAGAAAATATGAAGAAAAGAGATCCAGGACTAAATCCTGAATTTCCCTTGTCTATTCTCTGGTGTCTTTCAAATAGCTTTTTATATGCGATAGTTTCAGTTACTATAAGACAATGAAAACATCAAATTGATCTAATCAGGTGACCTTCTCGGTTATATTTCATCTGTGACTAAATCATTGCTTATTTAATTTTAGTGTCATGGTAGTATCAATACTGATGCTTCAGAAACAGTTGACCTAAACTTCTGTCAGGTAAGCCACTCTGTTGGGGGCATCATAATCCTGGGCAATTCAGATAGCCCCACATTGTATCAATAATACTTGCAACAAATTTTACATAGGAAAAGATATAGTCCTGTTGTTGAAAGATATTATAGGAATGGAAAGGTGGAAGTTAAAAATGCAGTGTCCTTGTGGAGAGAGCAAAAGTATTTTGAAACAAGATTGTCAAGTCAAGGCTCAGAAAAAAAGATGCATTGTAATGTGCTAAGTTTGCATTTATGATATTTACTAGTGTTATGAAAATATGAGTGACAGAAGACAATTTCAAAAATCACAATAGCATTGAAAATGTTACTTTTGTAAATTAAACTTTTAAATTGTGAAAATGAAATATGTGCCAGGTAAACAAATAGACAAACAAATAAGAAACAGTGTCAACAGTTAGGGTACAAAATGAAAAACATGCATCTATCCACTTCAACCCCTAATTCCACTTCTCACAGGCAGCCACTACTGTTTCCTTCAGTTTCCTTTTATCTGCCTTCCTAGTGCCCACTGAGGTCATGCGACAAATGCTTGAGATAATATTGTAGATTCAAAATGAAGCAGACTGATTCTTGCAAGCCCTTTAAGGAAACCTATACATTTTTCACATTTCTAGGGCCTCATTTCACAAACGTACTCTAAAAACCATCCAAAATTGAACATATTGGAGGCAATCAGCCAAAAATCAAGACTCCACCATGTTAAGCATTAAGAGCCAAGAAGAGTGACTGGATGTCATGTGCAGAGCTGTGAAAACCCAGCCCATCTTGACAAAAAATAGATTTACTGTATACCGTGTACTGTAAATGGCAGCATGTGGAGCGAGCAATCACATAAGCTAAAAGAAACTCTGTGACATGCCACATCACAAGCTCTGTAGGGCTGAAATGCAGATGAACTTTCTGGTTACTTTATGTCAGAAACCATCTTTTGAATATGTGGTTCTGGATCAACTAATTAAGGTGTACATTTTCCAACTTATGTCAGCTGTTCTGTATGGCTCAGAACAAAAAGGTTTGGGTACAATAAAATTTTTTAGCTAATTCATGCTTTCTTCTCATGAAGGATATGATATAATACCTCCTTGTATGGGATACAAATTTCATTCCCAGGAAGGAAAAACACCAAAATGAGGTTAAAGTGTTATCTTAGTATTATATGTCATATTTTAAGTACTAGCATTCCTGTCACTTTTATTATTTCTCAAAGTGAAGAGAAATATTTATAGAGAGAGAACCTGGCTTTAGATCTCATACATTCTTCACCCATAGCAAAATGTAATGTATTTTATATTACATATATTTTTATATATTATATAGCATCATGCCAAATGAATTACACTAATATAGTTTGTATTATACTATATATGTATTATATTATTATATAAGTAATTACATGATTATAAAATAATAATAGTATGTCTACTTCTTAAACCTATGATTTCATATTCACAGTTTCTTCTTTAAAATCTGAAGCCCGTAAGCATTATTGGCAAACTTGATAAATTTATAACAGTGACATTTCAATTTAAATATCTAATTTGAAAGCCCTGAAATATATGTATCTTATGCCCAGTTGGGTGTTTTTATCAACAGTTATGATATGCCATGCAGAAATATACTTTGTGTTTTAGTATGAACAATATTTCAAGAAGATGTAAGAATTTTTTGCATACTTGTGTTAATTACAAGTAGAAAGTCTCCAAGCACTTTATAACTTTATTGTGTAGCAGCCTTCAAGAAAAACAGTATTCATTGTGAAAGATGATTGCAGTTTCAATGGTAGCTCCCTCTTATTATTTAAGAAAAACCATATATTTAGCTAGATGCCATACACACTAAATTTAGATTACTTGGCAGTGCTTTAACCAGCTTTTTCTTCGTGATCTTTGTATTTAAAATAAATCTGAAATAAGCTATAATTCACTGGACATGCTGAGTAATGACTACACATATCCTGTTTTAACAGAAAAGTATACAATTACAAAGATATGATCAATTATTTTTTTAAATGTAATGTACTGAAATGGTTTAGGAAAAAACCACATTGGTCTTCGTTTTATATGAAAACAAAAATTGCTGGAAACCAGGGGTGGTTAGGGAGAGGAAAGCTAACAAGAATTGGTTCCTGGGGAGAAATAGCTTTCATAGTGGCTGTATTAAAATGAAATGAAAACAAAGTGGCTAACACAGCATTTCTAAATAACAAGGCAATGACACATCAGATCATTCCATATTTAAAACCACAAATGGAAAATGAATGGACTTTATTTCATCAAGAAATTAAACTTTGAGCCTTCCTTCCTAACCTTTTCAACAAAAGATACTTAGAGGTAAGAAGTAGAGGGCTAGATCTCCATTTCCCATTGAAGAAAGCTCTTTTCAAAGTTCAAATCTTTATCTTGATGGACCATGTGAATGCCAGGTGCTTAGCAAAACACAGAGAAGCTGGGACCATCTCATCCCTATTTTGGTCCATTTGGATGAGAAGAACTCTTTCTATATTATTGCCTGAAATTATTTGGTGGTTCTGCTACTGCTTCCCTTATCATGATGTTATGCCATGCATACTGGCCCAAATTAGGTTGAGTCCAAATCTGTTGTTATACTAACACTTTTTTTTAAACCCATTTACTTCTTTCTTGAGTCAGAACTCAGCAGTTTCTTTGGGATAGAAGAAAGTATTCTTTCATTTTATGTTTATTTCCCCCAAGTTTATTTGTTCTTTTTAGTTACACATAGCATTAGGATTCATTTTGACATAATTATAAAAATATGAACTTTAATGTTCTCTAATTCAGTCCCCAGTCATTTTTGTGTTTATTTATAAAGAAAACCCTCTAAGAACTATATCTGTCTCCCAAATTATCATTCAGAAAATAAGCAAGATTCTAAGCATCCAAGATTCCAAGAGTTCAATGGTTTCAATAACTCTGTACAAGAAGTTGAATATTAGATAAGCTACCATTTCATATTTGTTCATTGTGTGGACTGGGGAGAGGAGATGGCTTTGAGGGCCCAAAGCTTTTTAGTTTCTTCAGGCAAAAGAAACTCCATATTGGGCAGAGATCTTTGCCCGCCCTCAAACTGTTTCCTCTCCTTGGAGATTTCTAGCATCCACATTAACAAACATTTGTGCAGCTACTTTGTACTTAGCTCACATCCCATCAATTTTTGTTTGTTTAAGTGTTCCCCTTTAAACATAAGCAAAATTATTAAAAACTGCCATGATATAGGGCACCATTTGAATAGGTCCATGTGTCCCCTTGTGGTTTCTATGATCTTGGAACTATGATAGTTTTCTTGTTGTTAAGAAGAAAGTCTTATTTATCATTCAAATGTAGCAGTTTATTTGCTAGTCCCTTCTTTGTCATGTGTTCTGTGCGTCATTCTCGCAATTTGATTTTGGAGTTAGTGTGACTTGGTAAGTCCAGTATTTGCCTTCCATAGTCTGAATGGGGTCTTTATCACATGAAGGTAGATCATTTTCTTTTCAAAGAAAAAGGAAAGCATTAAGATTTGTGTTTTTACTCTGTACCATATCTTCTTTAATATTCTCCATACCTTATGCATGAACTATAGATGTTATCCTCACCATACAGATATGAAGCCTGTGGGAAAGAAGGGTCAATTAGTTTGTCCTTTACCATGCTGCTTTCTGGTTTTCAGTAAACAACTTAAATTGTTCTTTTGATTTCACCATCTTGTTGAGAAAGATGTTGCTAATGGAAAGAAAGAAAAAGTTGTATTTTCAATTTGTTTAGTCTCCTAAACTTTGTTAAACAGCTGCTAAACAGTTCTTAATCAATCAATTGTAATACCATAGATGAGACTACAAAGCAGTATGATGGGAAACTATCTTTTGTAATATGTTTGTACAAATGCTACAAAGTAAACACATTACAATATCTTATCAGACTGTCTCAGATGAAGAAGATTTTAAATGTGTTCTCAAATATATGGCAAGTTTTCAACCTCTTTTATAGTCAATTTATCCCTGGAGTTGAACCTTTTCCTTTAAATATACATCCCATTTAATGTTGACTGATGAAATGTGTGAACAGTTCTCTCCCGTGTTCTAAGTAAGATGATTTGCCCCTTAAAATTATTTTTAATTCCATGTCTTGGGATTTAGGCCAAGTTTTATTTAAAAAAAAATACAACTATAGAGTAATCTCAAAGACTGGTTTGTTATTATAGTACAATTTTAAAAAATCATGAATTAATATAATTTGAACTTTAGCTCCTATGAGCTAAAGTTGTGAAAACAGAATTTAATTGGGTTTCAGAGTCTTCCTGAAGAAATATGAGAATATAGGGAAAAACTAAAGATGAAATAAATGCACAGTGTAGAAAAATGGGAATTACAGTGCCTGGTACACCATCAATGTTTCTGATTTGTAATAAGTGTTTCTGGGGTGGGGGAATGATTCCTTTAAGAAAAACTTGAATTCTGACAATTTTCTTATGAGATTATGTGCCTACATAGGATCTAGGTACACAAGACATTTTAGTAAGTGCTTGTTTATCAAAAAATGAAGGAGGGGAGAGAGGGAAGTAAAGGAAGGAAGGAAGTGAAGGCGGGAATAAAGGAAAATAGCAAGGAAGGAAAGAAAGGGAAAAAGATGAGCTTTGAAATTAAAAACTAAATGACACCAATTACATTCTTTTTAAATTAAAGTGATTAAAATTAAATAAACATTAATAGCACTATTTTCTTACTTTTCTTGTTCATATTTCTTTCTGAAGAAATTCTAGACAAGAGTATTTTTTCCCACTGAGAAATCTGCAAAACAGTAATGCACTACTTTGTTTTCTCCATAGGTTAAAAATAGTCTCTTTACTTCTTATAGAGAGTTATAGACATGAGTTTTATCAGGAAAAAAATGTCTTCCTTCAATAAAATCTAAAAATGTATACTGAGTGCCTAAAACTGGTGCTCTAAAAGAAGATATAGATAAAGCAAAATAGGTATCTTCAAGGAGATTGAAATTTGAAAGCAGAATTTACTTAGCAGCATAATTGACCATCACAAACAAGAACAACAACAACAACAACAAAATTTCCCCCAAAGAGGTATAATACTTTGTGTGTAGATTGATCTAGACACAGAGTTCTGTGACCCAGGAGAAACCAGGATAATAGGAAACTCACTGGATGATCTAAAACTTCTGTTTTCCAGCCTTTCTATTCCCAACATCGGAATAGTAATACATGCTCTACACTAATTTTTATGGACATATAAAGATGAATAAATATGCATCAAAGCAATTTGATCTCTTACAATGAAAGTTATAACTCATGTAAAATATTACCATAAATGTCTTCCTTTTAAAGACATTCCAGGAGCTCAATGAATTTAGGTTCAGTCTGAAAAGCTGTCCATATTTGTCAACAAATTACTATAGGCATTGAAAAAAGGAAATTCAACTCTTTCAAAATGTTGTCCAAATGGTTCAAGTGATGTTTCTGATTACAAAATGACTTTTTTGCTGATAGACATTTCCTAGTATGTTTGTCAAATGGTAGGTTCATGGCTTAGTCAGGGACAAAGTTATTAAGGACATAAAACACCATCTGGATAGAGCTAATAAACATAAAACATAACCTTCAGATACACTGCTGCAGTGGCCAGACTGTGCCAGGCCAGATTACCCTTTGTTTGTGTTTAAATCTGAGCCATGCTCTAAGCTATCGACTTGTGTATCTTTAGATGTTTCCCCTTGACTCAAAAACAAATATTCTATGAGAGAGCAAATTCTCTTTGTGTACCACACCAGACAACAGACTCAATGTCTATTTGACTGATGTCATATTTCTCAACTATTTTTCATTAGTTTCTTCAGACATTTCCTAAAAGAGTAATTTTGTTGACTTACAAAGTAAAAACTCTAAAATTATAGAGGAGAAATATGTCTCACCATTATACAAACTTCCTCTCAGCAAAGTCCAGGGAAATAGTACCAGGAAAGCCTGACTGGTAATAAAAAAAACATCATCTCCAACACAGAATGATTGTGTAAACACTAAGCTTCAGAATCTAAATTTGATCGAAATAGAAAAATTTGTGTTTCCCTATATGCTTGTACTTATATAATTAATCCCCTTCCATGCACAAGAGAGACAAAAGATTAAAATTTTCAAGGATCCCTTCCTTAAATTGTTTACAGTTATAAAATTAATTGGGATAATTAAATACATATTGAATTATTAGGCAATGAGGGTACTTGGAGGATTATGAGGAATCTTCTACAATAACATTCCATAGAAAGACCTTCTTCTAAAAGTCAAGCATATCATATTCTGCTCCTTAGGGTGGTGTCTGATTGAGCTTCTGTCATTAAGAATAATATGATGACTATTCTAGAAACTATTATGTGGCACTCAGGTCACTCTTCAGGAACAAAAGACTTCTTTCCTCAGCTGCTGGGGATATCTCTGATGGATAGCCCTGAGCTGTCAACCATTTTTGGGGATTTCCTCATCAAATTGCATCATGCAAAGTCCACCCACCTTTTGGTGGGTCATCCTGTGCCCAATGACTGATCAGTGTGAGTATGTAAAACCCAGGCCTTCTCACCTCAGTTTGGATTGTCTCTGATACCCAAATGGAATAGTGGAATCCTACCTGCAGGATTCTACTTTGATTGTGTTAATAGTCTAAATTCTTCCTCAATCTACTCCTGCTGTCTTCTCTTTTACAGGTAGTAATTCTGTGAAAATAACTCAATGATTTATCTCCTGAGTACACATTTCTGCCTCAGGATCTGTTTGTTAGAGTTTGATTGGCCCATACAGTTATGGAAGCTGAAAAGTTTCACAATTAAGTCCCAATTTGAGACTGAAGACCAAGAGCACAGATGTCCAAGGGTTGGAGTTTCAGTTCAGAGAGAGGAAATGTATTCTCTCTCCACCTTTTTGTTGTATTCAGATCTTCACTCTTAGTATATTGGATTCTTCCCATACCCATTCAAAAGCTAACATCTTCTGTAAATACCCTCACACACCTTCAGAAACAGTATTTTACCAGCTATCTGGGAATCACTTAACCCAGTCAAGTTGACACATAAACTTAATCATCACAGTTTGCTTCCTGGGAATACCAAGACTACAACAGTAATTTTCTCATAGAATAAAGACTGTGAACTGCACCAATTGGAAACCCCTTTCAAATTTCTTCCTGTTCTTCTCAGCATGAGCCCAATGAAAGATATGTGCAGTGACTCTTCAAATGTGCCCCAGATGCTAGTCAGCAATGGAAGAGTTAAATAGATTTAGTGACTAACAAGTAGAATTATTTTTAAAAGAAAAATCATAAAACACTATGAGCCATGCTATGCAAATTGCCCTGAAAGCGATGGCAGTAAAGGCTGACTACTCAGCAACATCAATCCATACCCACAGGCCTCTGCAATTAGTCTACCATGATGAAATTGCAGTGACAGACACATGTTTCATTCTTCATTTCTGTGTAGCCTCAACATTTGAAAATTTCCTCTCTTCCTAAGTAAGAGGCATTTCATTAGATCAGAATGACAGCTATATAGTAAGAGTTTTAAAGCAAAAATGCAGATTACAAGTGGGAATGCTATGCAAAATGGTGATTAAATTAATTATGAGGTCTTTTTAAAATTTTCAAAGCCACATTATGTTAATATTCCCCAAAAGATTAAGAATCTGAATGTTTTGCTTTCAAATTCTGACAGCACTAGTTAGGATTATGTTTATGTCTAATGTTTGGTTATTAATATTTTTCTTAAACTCATTTATTTTAGTAATCCCATCTATTGCTGATTGAAGTTAATTGTCTTCATGAGATACATATTTGTGATACTGAAAGACAGAGCCCTCTAGAAATGTATTTTGCCATCCTACTGTGAGCCCAAGCCGTCCCTGAAAGCCTTTACCCTTTTGACATTAGTATTATGGAACTTGATGCCATTGCTTATGTTCTTGTCCTTTTCTGTCATTATTGGTTTTCTATTTGGTACTGTTTAGACTATCAAATTCTTCCTTACTGATTTGCCAGCCTTTTCAAAACTGCAATATTTCTTATACCTCTTCCTAGGTCTCATAGCACTTACCAAAGTGGTTCAACTATGAGTAATACTTGACACATATTTTGCAATTAAGTTTTTATTCTATTTGATAACAGTTTTGTTGCTCAGAAACTGAGCAGTTAACTACAAAATCCAATGACATTTCGTGTCTTTCTGTAGCACAGTGGACTATGTTTTCATTCCTGACAAATCTTTCTTCCCAGGACTTTTTGGGATGCTGGATATTTTAGTCTGTGTTCTTCCAAGAACCTCACATTTCTGGTTTCCTTTCCAGCTCTTCTTTTCCCCCTGTTCTCTCACAGCACAAGCTAGGTACTTTCTTCTAGGTATTGGGGATTCAAAAATTAATAACCATCAATCCCTGTTCTCAACAAGAAGTAAGTCTTAATCTGAAAGAGGAGACTGCTTCATTTCCAGGCTCCTACAATATTTATAATGTAATCATGTAACAAAATATTTATTGAGCAGTTACTGTGTGCTCTATTCTTATTTCAAGGGCTGGGATAAAGTAGAGAAAAAGTCAAAGGCCTACCATCATAGAGCTTGCATTTCTGTGGGATGCAGTTAGATAAAGATAATATACTTAATGGATAGTTGAAATACAATGTGTGTTGGATGAGGGCATCAGAGCAGAGCAGTAAAGCAATAACTCTTAAGCCAGGTATCTTATGTTCAAACTTAGCAGTTCTTCTTACCACTACTACAAATTCAGTGCAACATTTCTATGTCTCTGTTTCACCATCTGCAAAATGGAGATGACGCTAGCATTTATTTCCCCAGTGTTTTGGGGAGGATTGAATGAAATAATATTTTTAAAACCTCTAGAATGTGAACAGCATGAGTTCTACATGCACATTTATTTATTTATTTATTTATTTATTTATTTATTTATTTATTTATTTATTTAGTGGTGCTCGGGATTGAACCCAGGGCCTTAAGCATGTGAGGCAAGCACTCTACCAACTGAACTATGTCTCCAGCCCTGTGGATGTACTTTTATTAAATTTGAAAAATAGTAGGAAGTGCTGTGATGAAGAATAAAGCTAGGATAGGGGATAATGGGAAAGTAGAGGTCTTCAACTTTACACAGAGTCTTCAGGGAAACACTCTAGGAGAAGATGACACTGGATAAGAAATGTAGGGGATAAAGCTTCCTGTGGGAGGAGCATTCCACAGTGAGCAAGCAGTTAGCCCAGAGAACATGAAGCAGAAGCATGCTAGGTGTATTCCATAGTAACCATGGGAATAAGGGAGAGGACTGCAGGATAGGAGGATGCCAGTCACCTCTTTGGTACATTTATTTTTACTTAACTGGTTTCTAAACCAATTCTAACTTCTACTAATAATTAGTTTGTTTTTCTTAAATATTCCAAACACATATTTTAATTTTCTAGTAGGGATTGCTACCAGATATTTTGGTCTGCTGTATCTAAAAATTTTCCATGGTTCTTTCTTCAAAAGCTGTAATATTTTTATCCATTTCCAGTCTTCTGGATCCTCTCCTATCCCCTACTATTCCTCAAGAATTATCAAAATGCTCTTGCAATCAACATTTCTGTTAATCTAGGGATGTAATTTGTCTTGACTTCATGCCTTGTATTTGTTCAAAGTGGAATTTGAGTGGAGAAGCATCTCCCTTAACCAGACATATGTTGGTCTTCATATCTCTCTTTCCATTGTGTCTATATTGCCTTTCCAGAGTTTCTTTCAGCCTCTAACACCTTGAAGCAGCAAGAGACCCCTTTTGTCTTCCTCTTGTTTGGTTTAGGCAGTCTAAGGAGGCTCTCTGTCATTGTTACTACAGCCGCACTTAACTTTCCTATATTTGTTTCTGATTTTGTGTTTTAGCTTTTATCTTTTCAAGAATTCTCTAAAATCTAAAGTCATCAGAAAACTCCTGGGTGGCCTTTTTCATTTTCTTTCTTTTCTTTTAACATTTAGGTAGCTCCTGCTTTGATTACTTAGAAAAAAACAATAGAAATTTTATTGCCATAATATGTTTATATGGGTTCTGCTAAACTTCCTGATTTATTCTTGCGGGTTTCAGGCATCAAGCAGGCAACTGAATTATTAAAATAGACTGACCGGGGCTCTGGTGAACTGAAGAACTTCCTGTGGAAAGGGGCAACAGCTATTCTGTTCCAGCTGATCTGTTGAGTGTTACCAAATTTGGCTATTTTTTTGGAGAAGCTGAAAACCTAGAACTTTTATATTCAAGTTGCATTAGCTTCCAAGGGCTGCGTGGCTTAGAGTTTAACTGAGTACTTCAATAGTAGAAATTTATTTTCTCACAGGTTTGGAGGCTACAAGTTCAAGATCCAGGTGTCAGCAGACTTGGTTCCTTTTAAGGGCTGTAAGGAAAAATCTGTCCCATGCCTTTCCTTGACTTCTGGTGGTTTGTTGGCAAACTTTTGGACCCTTGACTTATAGAAGCCTCCCCACTTCCAATCTCTGCTGTTCTTCACAGGGTGTTCTCCCTGTGTGGGTGTCTGTTCAGATTTCTTCTTTTATAAAGATACCAGTAATACTGTAATAGAGGGCCTCCCTAGTCCATTTCTGAATTTATCTTGCCTGATTACATCTGTATTGACACTATTTCAAAGTAAGGTCATATGGTAAGTTTCTGGAAGTTAGAACAAGAATACATTCATTTTTGGGAGAGACAGTTCAACATGTAGAACAAGTTATTGGTTTTAAAATGTTAGTAACCCCTGGATAGTCCATGTAAAACACACCTACAAGCCAAACCCACCTTGTGGTTTCCAAGTTTGCAACTTCTGTTTCAGTCTTTAGCTCTGAGATATACTTCCTTCTGCTCTGAACCATATGTACTGGGTTTATTTACTGTCATATATACTAAAGCTTAAACTACTTACTTGACCAGGTCCAGAATTATTCACTTTTACAAATGCTAAAATAATAGTTACTTTCTGTCAAACTCCTGTTGTATCTATTTCC